AAAAAAACATTAAGTGTAAGTATAACGAGTTTGTAAGAATGGCTGAAGCAAAAATAATTGAAGTTAATAAACCAATTTCTAATACATTACATACATATAAATACATCCCTTATATATATAAAAAAAGATTATTCTAATTAAATTCATAATATATTTACAAAACGTTGACAAGTTAAAAAGTATAAATTTAAAACATTTATTTTTTTAAACAAATGTTAGTTTAAAACATTTATAGCTTTATGGATGTGACTCTGAGAATGAGCCATTGTATTAAAATAATTGTTCGTTTGATAGTATATTCTTAAAGTAATTGATGCTAGAATTCTCAACGAAAACATAACAAAAACAAAAACAAAAACAAAAAAAAAAGATTTTGAAAAATAATTCAACAGAATACGCTAGAACAGTCGCTTAAATTCTTTAGTAATTTCAGTTATTTATTAATTGAACCAATAGGATTAGTTGTTCGTAAATTTGGCGGGTTTTTGTGTTCGCGAATATTCTTTATTTATTTTATCGCTTGACAACATTCAAGTTTATATAAGTTTCCATGTACGTCCGTAAAACAAAATCTTTTAAAATTTACGATAAAATGAACTTATTATTTTGCGGACAAACAAGGAAACATACATAAACTGAAATGTTCTCAAAACGCGTAAAAAATCTGGCCGGCTTTTCGCAAGTATATATAATATCCGTGATTAATTATCGAGTGCGATCGCACTTGCTTCCCGACCAAGCCTGTACTGGGGTACAATCTGCTTCATGTCCTACTGCTATTTAGGATACACCTTTTTAGGCAAAGGCTAGGAGATGCCAACTCCAACATAAAACACCCCCTGCCTTGGGGCTCTTGGTTGAGTAAAGGCTAGGGATGGTGTCTCGATAAAAACACTCATCTTGGCAGATGTTAAATGCATCTGGCTGCTGTCTTGTAGAAAGCATCCTAGGCAAAAAATTAAGGGGTAAACAGATTCTATCTGTTGACCAGTTTCGCACCCTTTCATCGTTTATTAGGCTGGTGAGATGTGTTTTTAATACATTGTTTCCAGTTTAGGATGTTGAATGCTGGATTTTCTTGACTCAATGCATGGGTTTTGCTTGTGCCTCTGTTTTTATGACTAGGCAACTCATTCTATTATCCCCTAATGAGGGTACAGCTCTAAAACTCAGTTTTATGGTCATGAGGCCGGCTGGTAGTCAGGTTTCCTGAACTCTGTGGTAGCTCTCAGAGAAGCTGATTCCATCAACAGCTGTAAAATATCAAAGTACTAACAGTGACATGTTGCACATGGATGGTGTCCCTGTTTGTACTTTTGGTGTGCATTGCCAGTACCATATTAGAACACTGTTCTAAAGGCTTAGGGTTAATTAATAGTAATTGCTTCAGCTATTAAACAGTGCACTATTTCTGTTTCGAGTCAATTTTTTTTCTAAAATTTAAAAATGAATTAAGTAACAAAAACTATAAAACACATTCATCACCAAGTTCGTTAAACCTATCATTTACTAATATTTGTGGTCTTCGAAGTAACTTTTCTTCTGTTGAGTCTTATTTCTTGCAAAGTTCACCAGACCAACTTGCTCTTTGTGAGACTAATTTGAGTTCAGCTGTCTCATGTTGCGATCATATTGTTGATGGTTATCTTCTTTTAATTCATAAAAACTCCAATAGTCACATGCTTGGCCTGGGCATTTACATTTGTAAGAATTCACCCATTTGTCGGGAAACTAGGTTTGAATCCACAGACTACTTTTTTATGTGCTTTTGTTTAGCACCACTTCACTCTAACACCTTTCTCTTTGTTCTATATTGCTCTCCTTTATTTCAAGACTGCACTCTTCTTGATGTTATTTCTGATCATATTGACCAAGCCCTTTAAACCCTTCTTTATCCATCAGCCAATATTAATGTTGTCAGTGACTTTAATGTTTATCACACTGAATGGCTTGGCTCTAGTGTCAGTGACTCTGCAGGCATTAATACCCACAACTTTTGCCTTTCTCAATCTCTAACTCAAATAGTCAACTTTCCAACTCGCTTTCTAGACAACTCGAGTCATTTACCTTCTCTACTCGACTTGTGTCTTGTTTCTGATCCTAGTCAGTGCTCAGTTACTCCACATTCACCCTTAGGTGCCTCTGATCACAGTTTGATCTCTTTAAAACTATTATCTCATTCTTCTTTATTCTCATTCTCATTCTTCAGACTCCCCATATCATCGTACATCTTACAACTACCTTAAAGCTGACTGGGACTCTTTCCGTGATTTTCTTCATGATGGCCCTTGGGTAGAAATCTTTCGTCTTCCTGTTGACAAATATGCTTCTCACATAACTTTGTGGATTCAGGCTGGCATGGAATCCTATATTCTCTCTCAACGATTCCAGGTCAAGCCTCACTCTTCTCCAAGGTTTTCCTCACATTGTGCTGCTACAATTGCTAATCAAAACCATTACTTCCATATCTATCAGCAAAACAATTCTCCTGAAAACAGAAATCTGTTTATTACTGCTAGGAACTATTGTAAAAAAGTTTTGTCTAATGCCAAATCCCGCTAATTTCAGATCATGAAATCTTGTACTTCATCTCAAAAATTAGGCTCTCGTGACTTCTGGAGAATCTTTAATAGTATCAATGATAAGAGCAAGTCTGTAATTCCACCTCTTTTGTATGGTTCAGACTAGTGTCACTAGTGGGATAGAAGATAATATTGATGAAAAGTTCTTAGCAAACAATTCAGCTTTGCCTAAAGGCAAAGCTGAATTACATTTTATCTAAGTTGGTAGGCAAAGCTGAATTGCGTTCAACCTGAGTTCTTACCTGAGTTCTAACTAGTTGCATTCTACCTGATATCCTTTCAAAACTATTCAACAAGTGCTTTTCAGAGTCTTGTTTTCCAGCCTGCACCTGTTATCCCTATTTTTATAAATTCTGGAGAGCGATCTGATTTGTCTAACTACCATCCCATTAGCCTTCTTCCTATCATAAGCAAGGTTTTTGAATCTTTAACAAACACTTAATCACTTATCTTGAATTTAATAACTTACTTTCTGATCATCAATATGGATTTCGATCTTCTCGTCCTACAGCTGATTTGCTATCAGTAATAACCTATAGGTTTTATCATGCATTAAATAAAGGTGGAGAGGTTAAGGTTATCGTTCTTGACATTTCAAATACATTTAATGAAGTTTGGCACACTGGTCTTCTCCATAAACTTTCTTCTTACGGTGTATCTTGAAATATCTTTAAGATTATTGAATCCTTCCTTTCCAATCATAGTATAAAAGTTGTCCTTGATAGACAGCACTCTTCTTCTTATTCTGTAAACTCAGGGGTTCCTCAAGATTCAATCCTTGGTTCAATCCTCTTTTTAATTTACATTAACGATCTTCCAGATATTCTCACATCTAAGGTGACATTGTTTGCTGATGATACTACCATTTATTCTTGTCACAATAAGAAGCCAACTCTCTCTGATTGCTTGCAGGGGACATTGAAGCTTAAAAAGGATCTCACTTCTGCTACAGCATGGGGCTCACAGTGGCTGGTGAACTTTAATTCAGATAAAAAATTTTTCAGCCAATCGTTATTGCAATAATTTAGACCTTCCTATATTTATGAACGTTAATGTACTCAATGAGTCATCTACTCTTCATCTTATAGGATTAACTCTGATCTTTCTTTGAAACCTTATATCAAATCCGTTGCAAAATCAGCATCTGCTAAAGTTCCATCTCTTTATCGAGCTCAACACTTTTTTGCTCTGTATTCTATTCTCCATCTATATAAATCTCAAATCCGGCCTTGTATGGAATACTGTTATCATATCTGGGGCGGATCTTCTAATGATGCCCATTCTCTTTTAGACAAAGTTCAAAAACGCATTGTAAACATAAATGGACCTGCTTTTGCAGCCAACCTTCAACTTTTGTCACATTGTCGTAATGTTGCTTCTCTTTCTCTTTTCTACAAATACTATAATGGGCACTGCTCTAAAGAACTAGGGTCTCTTGTGCCATCTACTAAAATTCATTCTCATGTTACTCATCATTCAATTAAGTCTCATCCTTTTTCTGTGACTGTTCCTAAATGCTCCAAAAACTCTTATTTGTCTAGCTTTTTTCATCGAACATCAGTTTTTTGGAATTTGCTTCCTTCATCTTGTTTTCCTGATTCATATATTTTGCAATCTTTTAAGTAATCTGTCAATCGTTATCTTGCCCTACAATCTTCATCTTTTCTCTTCCAGTAACTTCCAACTCTAATTAGTGGTTGCTTGCAGCCTTGTTGGAAGTGAAGATGTTTAAAAAAAAAGAAAAAGAAAAACAGTCATGATTACATCATTTATTTAGCCAACCAGAGAATATATATTTCAATAAAGTTCACCTTCAGGTAGATAGTGATGTGCCGCAATCCTTTGGTAAACTCAAAAACCATTGGAGGTCACAAGAAAGGTGGAGCACTTCAGTGCTCCTAACATACGCTCACCCGAACAATATTTTCACGTGCCAAAAAATATATTTTATGTGTTATTTACTGAAAAACCTTTGGAATTGCTAAAGATTAGAAATTCCAGATGATATAAACTTTGAGGACAATCATGAAGATGATGTACACAATGTTCAGGATAATTTGACACAAGTCAACCAACTCGACTTAGCATTGTGCAAAGAACACTAAATAAAACTTGTTTGCAAATGTTTGCAAAAAAAAAAGGCGATAATATATTGTTGAATGTTTAACACTGTTTACGTGACATTTATGATTGAAGTAAATGAAAATTTTTATAGCAATATTAAACAGTTGTCAAAACTTGCCTGCCCTTAATAACCTCTTTGTAGATTAATCAATTCTGAACCCCTCTCTTCCTCTTTTCTACTTAAAATTATTTTCTTAATTATTCTCCCTGGTCTACCATAGTGTTATGTGTTTACAAAAGTATGCTATTTCAGCACTTCAAATAAAGAAATTTGCCTAAATACAAATCACATACCTATGATCTTGTAGAAATTCTTTACAGTTAATTAATGTGATCAAAGCTGTGGTGCCTGCAGGCACTATGATAATTGGTGTTTTTGATTCTGTAAACAATAATGAAATTATTATAAATCTATTTTTAATATAAGATTTAAGTAAAAAAAATTAAATAATCTTTTACAAACAGATTTTAATGGATTTTCAAAATGTATTTTATGCTTGTATTTTATGTGATGACCTCACATAAATTTTATTTTAAAAACTAAATTTTATTTAAAAAAAACTTTTTTATTTATAATGAGCCAACTAATAGGAAATACTATGATCTGATTACAACCCTCTTAATTATAAAAATTGAGGTTGGCAATTTATTGCTGACCTTAAACTGTTAGAGGTCAGCATTAGGTTGGCAAAAAAAATATAGTAACAAGGCTTTTTTTTTTTTTTTTAAACATCTTCACTTCCAACAAGGCTGCAAGCAACCACTAATTAGAGTTGGAAGTTACTGGAAGAGAAAAGATAAAGATTGTAGGGCAAGATAACGATTGACAGATGACTTAAAAGATTGCAAAATATATGAATAGGAAAACAAGATGAAGGAAACAAATTCCAAAGAACTGATGTTCGAGGAAAAAAACTAGACAAATAAGAGTTTTTGGAGCACTTAGGAACAGTCACACAAAAAGGATGAGACTTAATTGAATGACAAGTAACACAAGAATGAATTATAGCAGATGGCACAAGAGAGATGCTAGCTCTTTAGAGCAGTGCCCATTATAGTATTTGTAGAAAAGATAAAGTGAAGCAACATTACGACGATGTGATAATGGTTGAAGGTTGGCTGCAAGAGCAGGTCCATTTATGTTTACAATGCGTTTTTGAACCTTGTCTAAAAGAGAATGGGCATCATTAAAAGATCCTCCCCAGATATAGCAACAGTATATTCCATACAAGGCTGGATTTGAGATTTATAGAGATATTGATTAGAATCCAGAGTAAGAAAGTGTCGAGCTCGATAAAGAGATGCAACTTTAGCAGATGCTAATTTTGCAACGGATTTGATATATGGTTTCCAAGAAAGATTAGAAGTAAGAGTTAATCCTAGATGATGAAGGATAGATGACTCATCAAGTACATTACCGTTCATAAAAATAGGTCTAAATTATTGTGATAACGATTGGCTGAAAAAAATTGAGTTTCATCTGAATTAAAGTTCACCAGCTACTGTGAGCCCCATGTTGTAGCAGAAGTGAGATCCTTTTTAAGCTCCAATGCCTCCTGCAAGCAATCAGAGAGTGTTAGCTTCTTATCAGGACAAGAATAAACGGTAGTATCATCAGCGAACAACGCCACCTTAGATGTGAGAATATCTAGAAGATCGTTAATGCAAATTTAAGAGTATAAGGCCAAAGAGGTTTATATTGAAGAGGTTGTAAATTAAAAAAAGTATAGGGCCAAAGAGGTTGGCAAATTTTTGCTAACCTTAAACACTTTAAAGTCAGCAGTTAATGCTGATCCTATTTCCGAGAACTGCAACTAATAGTAAATAATAGAACCAACTAATAGTTAATACTATGAGCCAACAAATAGTGAACACTATGAACCAAATAATAGTAAACACTATGAACCAATTAATAGTAAACACTATGAACAAATTGATAGTAAACATTATGAACCAATTAATAAAAAACACTATGAACCAACTAATAGAAAATACTATGAGTATTTACTATTAGTTGGTTAAAAGTTGGAGTATATTAACTAGACTCATAAAAGTTTTGCTAACTAGCCTCAGAAGAGTCTCTTTTTTTAATAAGCTTAAAAATTCTGAAAAATTGTTGAAAAAAAAACTGACAGAAAAGAGTAATTTATTTTGACTGAAATGTTTTTAATTTTTCTTTTAAGCAAACCTATTCACTTTATAAACCTATAGGCATATGTGTATCTCTTCTAAACTATTATGTATATATGTATGCATGTATGTTTGTATGTAAATATGGATGAATATATGGATGGGTGCTTTTAGAATATTCGTATTACCCAATCTATATTAGATTTTAAACTTTCAAAAATGAGTTAAACATAAATTAACATTGAATAATAAATAATTGATCAAATCAACAAATTTCATAAAGAACAAAACTATTTTATACAATGCATGTTTTAATATAATATAATAAAACATGCATATATATATATATATATATATATATATATATATATATATGTTTTTTTTTTAATTAAAAGATAAAAAATGCAATAACTTTTAATTGGTTTTGTCTATTTTCAAAATTCTTTCTGTAAAAAATACATATATTGAATATGCATGTTTTCCATGAAAAAAAAACTCAAAATGGCAGAAAGTTTAAATTTTTTCACAATTAATGCCATGATATTATTGCATAATATAATAGATTAGAATGTTTTTTATGCATTTTTATGACTTTTATGTAAATTTGGCATCCATGTGTGGGTGGGTGATAAGAAATGCAAAACCTTCTAAATTTTTGTAAAAGAAAAATGTTTTTTTTAGATGTATAAATATTTAGATGCCCACAAACGTCCTCTTTAAAATGATACCAAATTTGTTATATGTTGAATGGAAATCACATAAATATTTAAGCAAAACCAAAGAATGGACTTTTCACTTTTTATTCGTCATATATATATATATATATATATATATATATATATATATATATATATATATATATATATATATATATATATATATATATATATATATATATATAAATTAGGGGTATGATGAAAGTGCATTTCCTTTTTTCAGAAAAAATATAGCGGCAGAAGATGAACTTTTACTTGAATTAACTTAAAATAGTAATACTTTTTTCTATATCAAAAAGTAAATCTCTCATCAGTGCAGATGAAAATTTAGTTCCAGCAGTCTAAAAATGCAAAAAATTCAAGTTTTTGCATTTATAGTAGGGGCAGGGTCATTTAACAAAACTTCAAAAATACCATAAGAGTTTTTTTTGTAGCTTGGTCTGTCTACAAAAATTAGAAGTACATTCTGCACTGTAATGTAAAACAAAAAGACCAGTGATAAATTTTTTTAAAACGTTTTATAATCTGGAAACAAGTATTAATATATATTGATATATACACATAGCACATAGCCGCAATATGTTCCAGCTTGATGAACTGGTTTTCATCCATTCTGCCTAAGGTAATGTCATTTTTTAGCAAATCAAAGAAAAATCAGTTTCAGATTTAAAAAATCTTTAATTGTTATATAACTTGCAGACTTTTCTGTTTAAGCTAATTCAAGCGCTAATTTATGTAATTAAGACATGTATCAGAAAAAATCTGCGCTGATATTTTAAAGGATATTTATTTAACTATTGTATTTCGATATTGAATGTTATATATGAAAATAAATATATTAATATTCTTAAATTTCGTTAAAGAAAGTTTGTGAATTTGTGAGAATGCACGCACTTTGCGTTTTACACTCGACATCAGATTTTGCACAGTCTTCAGCTGGACTTTCTTGGTAACTCTAATTTTTGAAGTCTTTAATGTTTTTGGCTTCTTTTACATTGAACCTTTGTTTTCTTTTGTTAAGAGCCCAATATCTTTCGATAGGATGTAGCTCAGGACAATTTGGTGGATTGCAGTATTTTTCAACAAAATCTACTTTATGTTCTTTAAGTCAGTTTATAGTTATCCCAGAGTATTGGGATAACTATAAACATGATTGGGCCAAAATAAAGTTTTACTTTGGCCAAATTGGGCCAAAATAAAGTTTTACTTTGTGTTACTGTGTGTTTTTAAAAACTGCAAAAGACGTTTCTTGAGGCATTTCTTCTATGTATATTTTGGTATTAATTGTTCCCGCAGTCACAAAACAAAAGTTTCTATCACCACATTTACAAATTGCTTGCCAAACTAAGAATTTTTTAGCAAATTTTTGCATTCAAATGCATTTATAATTGGAATTCAGTTTCTTGTGATTAAGTGTTGAATAATATTGGTAAGAATTGCTGAGCTGGTTTTAATTGAATATTGGTAAGCTGGAAGAAAAAATATGCAGCACAATAAGTTTCATTGCCAATAATTAAACAAGATTATTTGGCACATAATTTTTTATAGAGCTTTGAACAACAAATTGCGACATTTTTTTGCTTTTCTTCACGACAAGCAACTTTTTTCTATTTATAAGATTTATAAGCACAATTTCTCTTCACTCTTTGTATAGTGGAAGCACTTGTCTTAAATTTATTTGTTAAAGTTCAAACAGAAATCTCCAGTTTTGTGTCTAAGGCATCTTTCACTTTTTTACCAAAATCTCGGTTAACAAAACATTTTTTTCTTCCACTTCCTGATTTCCTTTTGATTGTACGAGTGTCTTTAAATCGTTTCACATTGTTTTGCACTGTTCTCAAAGCAATATGCAACTTTAAAAAAAAATTTTTGTTTGATACACCAGGATTTTCAAAAAGAAAATGCAAAAAATTTTCTCATTTCATATCTTGATTTGATGATATTAAAATAAAAACTAATTGTTTTGATAACAGAGTAGTTTAAATTTTGAATAACACTAATACAATGACATTTTAAAACAATTAGCTATTTAAAATGAAGTACGGTTTCCATAAACACCACATCAGAACACACAGATTTTTTCTGATACATGTCTTACTTTATAGATAATGAATAAAAATAAGAACAAAATACTTTTTAAATTTTTTAAAAAGCTGGAAATACTGTCTGTCTTATTATCTCCATTATTGCAAGTAAGTACATTTTATTGTCTACTCAAATTTTTTACTAACCAACCTTTGTTTGTTTCCTAATGGACTCTTATAAACTTCAAATTTTTTTCTTACTTCACTTTATATTTTGCAAAACTTTTATTGCGCGACATTTTTTTAACATGCAATCCTTTCTGATAATTGAAAAAATATAGATCTTCTTGTCTACTTTTTAAAACTTTTCATCTTTCAAGATGATGAGTTTTTTTATTTTTCATTAAAAAAATCTTCCTCTTTTAAAACCGCATTTTTGCCTTTATGGTTTTGTGTTTGTTTAAATTCATTCTACTCCATATTAAGTCCATATTTTTGTCTCTAAATGACAT